ACACATTCAGTGACACACAGGAGCTCTTTCAAGCTGGGCACCGTTTCATTCACAACACCTGTCCCATCAACCAGGAATCAGAATCAGGAATACTTTAATAATCCCATGGAGAAATCACTTTCTTTGCATGACTCCAACTGTAATAGAGTGACTACAGTGACTACAGGACCAGTTTGATATAACACAGTATAATTAGGGGGTCCACTCTCCATCTTGCCATCAGTTTGGGGGTCCTTGGCCTGGAAAAGACCCCTGCCCTAAATCATTACAGCTCTTGCAGGAAAAAAATCCCCTGTTATCCAAAAATAGACTGTGTATCTGCATATTGGCAGCTCCATCCTCCCCCATACTGTCTGGCTTTCCACACTCTCTGATAATATCAATGTCTGCATATCTTCATCTGTTCCCTCCTCTCTCCTACTCAGTTCACGTTAACTGCTCTGGCACCTTTGGTAATGGTTGAAGGCAAAATAAAAAAAAAAAGAAGCAATTATCTCTCAGGAGGAATTAATTTCATAGTCAGAGACTGAAAAAAAAAAAAACATATGCTCCAATGCACCTAAACCATACCAAAGGATTACTTTTCAAAAATATAATAACTAAATGTTTTAGTCAGTCTTTGTAGCAAATCTGCGTCTGGATGGAAGCAACTTGTATTGATCTTGCATTGAGTTGCTGGATCAGTCAGGTTTGCCCTTTCAGAACTGACCTCTCATCATACAAATTGGTTAGATGTATTTTTTTCCATGCCATTGCCCAAGACAGCATTCACTTCTGGCCAGGGGTAACCTTTACATACTAAAATACAATCCTTTAAAATGATTGTGCGATGTCAATCTCACAAGACATCCCTGCAATGAACACTGTGAAGAAAACCCTTAGTTGTGCATGTGGAAATGGTAACTTGAAATCCTTTACCATCCAGCAGTGATGGTGAGATGAAGCCTTGTGAGATATTAAACCATTGCTTCAACGATCCCCACAGTTCATGAAACTTCATGGGAACATGATACCACCTACTGATGGGGTGCATAACTGTGTATGTAATCTGTGATGTTTGCAAATGTTTGCAATTGTTTTTCTTGCTTTTTTCCCATTCAAGTTTCTTTGAAATTGTTCGATTGGTGTGTATAATAAAATCTTTTGTAATTTTTTGTGTGGTTAAAATGTCTAAGAAGAGAACAATCTTTTAAAATATACTCAAGCATCGAGAATCGTTTAGCTAAACCGCCTTAAACTGTTTCATATTCATTTTCTATTTTGTCATTTTAGTGACATCAGCTCAAGCAGACAGTAAAACCGCTCGTACAAACTGGACAATGATAAGCAAATAGAAAGGTGTTAGTCATTTTTATTCAAAAATAATTGTTTTCCACAGTTTTTGGTTTTAATCTGGTTGGAAGGTATGTGTACAACCAATCTCTTGGTTAAAACAACCAATCTAATTTGGCAGTGTTTTTTACCCAATATATATTGGTAAAAGGGCAAACCAATACACTTTGGCCAAAATACTGGTAGAGTAGCATAGCGACTATCAAAAGCTTAATCCGGGTCAAATCCAGGACATTGATCAAGCAGTCATAAATGTAAATTTGGAAGACTGAAGTAGTTAATAAGTCTGTTTTAGAGGACTGTAGAAAATAGGAACCTTCACATCTTGTCATTGCTCTGAGGGCTGGCCTGATTGCTTATTTCATCCACCTGCCTAACTCTGCCCGGTTTCCAATTTACACTAATCTAATCCACCTGCTCCTGTATATATGTCTTAGTCCCTGCTATCAGGGGCAGATTATTTAGTTTGAGATAACTGCTGATGCCATTGTTCATGTTCTCGTTCTTGGGGGCCAGTGGTGAGAGAAGTTTTTATTGTTTTTTTAGTGTTCCTGATTTCGTGATCCTGATCTGTCTCTTATAAACTGAGTGTGCCTTTTCCTGTTTTGGCTCAGTAGAGAGAGCAAAGTTTTTAACATTCCGTAGTGTTCCTGTTATCCTGACCTGTTCTACCTCTCAACCACTGAGCTTGCATGTTCCCATCAGAACATTCTGTCTTAACTCTCTGTGGAATCCTGGCCTGTTCCTGTTCTGATCGGTATCCCTGATTGGGCTTTGGACTGCTGGACCTCTGAGCCTTCCTGTTCTGATCTGTTTACCTGACCTGGCTCGGACTCCTGCTTGTCCTCTGGGGTCACAGCATTTAGGACACTCTGGGCGGTACCTGCCGCATCTAGTTGGCAGCACTCCAACTGGATCATAGTGCTTTCTATGGAGGTGGACTGAACTGTAAAACCAGGCAAGTGACTAAGATGGATAATTATCCTCCATAAGATTATCATGGTCACTTACCTGTATTTTTCTCCAACCAGAGTTTCCAGTGATGGGCAGTGTTTCTGCATTTTAATAAAGGCTTAGAATTTTCCCACTGTCTGCCTGCCCTTGAATACTGGGTCCTTCTGTCCTGCTTCATGACACATCCCAAATGCCTGCAAAAAAGTCATCTAGTCACCAGAAATGGCAGCACTGAAGAAATGCAAAATAGTGCAAAATAGAGTTGTGAAGATTTCAAACACTGTGGAAAAATCAGTATTTCTTCAGATATCAATGGTAATGAAGATGTTTCTGTAATGAAAGAGCATAATGTCGGTCAGCTCTATGAGACCACACCAAGCATCAGAGTAACACATCATACACCGGTGCTGAACGAACACAGAAAGTTAAGAAAATGGCAGCTAGCCTGCAAGCTCAACAGCAGTTTTTTTCATGCAAACAAAATGCACGAAAATGCCATAACAGCAAGCTAAGAAGTCATTAAAATTATTGCCCAGCACGGCAAACCTCATAAAAGTCTAAGAAATAATGTGCCCAGAAAAAGTGCCGGATTTCAACAATGTGAACTTATCCAGAAATACAGTGGTTTGGAGAATCTGACACTGCGCAACTGTTATTTATGTATTTTTTGCTGGGAGTAGATAGCCTTCGCCAGGACTAGGAGATTTTTGCAGGCCAGGAGTCAGTCATGTAACCAGGCCAGGGTGGCCTGGTTACATGACAGCTCAGGTGTTTTGATGAAAACAAAGTAAAACTAATTAAGTCAGATTGACAATAATTTTTGTTCTGCATTTTGTTCCCAATTAATCCAGTTTAGATTATTTTTTTTAAGTCTATAGGTGCAGCGGCAACTCACCTATCAGAAGAGAAAAAGGCCAGGCAACTTAGGCCTGTAGTATGTAAGGACGGAAAACGATTTGTTTATTTCAATTAAAACCCGCTCCAACAGTCCTTATCAACCACATAGACAGCAGCATGTGCCGTCTGCTGTGATGTGTGTAGCTAGTGAGCAGTGCAAGTAATGATAAGAAGCAATGGACTTGGTCTTCAGACGTAGTTAAAGGAAGTGGAAAGGCATTGCAGAGACAAAAAAAAAAGAAAGGCGCTGGACGAGGACACGGCCAAATGCAGAAAAGTAACAGTTTTAGTTAGCCCCCCCACCCATGGTGCCATTAAAAAAAAAAAGATGCAAGTAACTTATAAAAAAAAAACGTGTTGTGTTTTGTGTTTGTGTTTAAGTTTAAAACACAGTGTTATATCCAGAGACACGAAAGGTCTCTGGTCAGTGAATGGAAGAACACTGTTAGCATATGTTTGCTATTCAAAGGTGGTGATGGTGATAACAACACTCCTGCTAGTGCTTCAGGAGAAGTAGAGCGTCACTGCTCCCACTGATGCAATGTTCTTCTCATTATATGTGAGTTAGATCTACACACAGTATATCCTAGTATGTGTTCTTTGCATATGTGTTGAGTGCATATATTCATTTATTTTATGTGAAGTAATTAAGGAGTAAAAAAAGGAAATATACCCAGTATTCATGCATCACTATGTCACATCTAGAATGTGGCCCAGCCCTTGGTGTAGTTTTTTGTATTGGGCCCTCACTAAAAAAAGGTTTGGACTCCCCTGCAATAGAGAATAAGAGAGCAAAGAAAATGGACATTCACAGTATTGTGGATGAGTTCGCGGAGCGCAAGACTCATCATATGCCCTTCAAATAGTAGTAAGGTGACCTAAAGTACTTCATGATGAAATTGTGTTTATGAACATGTGAGCCGCGTAAAAGTTACTGGTTTGAAATATTTAAAAGGAAATATATAGATGGGTCTAAATATGATCCAGTTGCTATCCATGGTGCTGATCTGCTTTGGATTTGTGTTGTTTTGCACTATGCAGCCTAATGAGTTTCATCTTCTCTTGGAGTGTTATATTACATGTTTCTTTGACTTCAAAATGCCATACTTGTTTTTAGTGGTGCTGAACCTTGTAAGCTCCGCTGCTGCTGGTATCTTTATGGTGTAAAATGGTAAAATATTGATGAACTAAAGGAGCGGTCATTTGCCCCGCCCCCGGCCGACTCTGATTTGTCCTGCTATTGCTCCTCAGCACATATGTTTATCAGTTTATTTTTTCTTTCCTCTTTTATTGTGGCATACCTCCTGGTATAGGCCAATTTATTTGTTATATGTATCCTATGGTTGAACTTTATTCTTTAATTGAAATTAAAAAAAGGAAGAAAAAAAAATGGAGTACTATGGACTAAGGGATAGAGATAGATTTCAGAGGATCCCATGAGAAGCAGCAGCAGCAGCGGGGCTCTTTGAGGTTTTAGCGGAGAAACAAACTCAACAAGCCCGCTTCAGCAGCACCTTTGATCGAAGCCCACTGTGGATTTAAGCCGAACCAGGACCTGAACTCCAGGAGCGGACTGAGAGTTGGAAAACTTCTTCCCAGCTGCAAAAACATATGGGACTATATAGAAAGTGTTGGGACACCAAAAATCTGATTGTATTTAAAACAAAATATCGGTTCTGATAGTTCTATTTTAAGTCAACCTACATGATGATGATGTTGATAGTGAGTGCTACTGGTCCTCCGTTGGGTCGGATCGGATTAAATGTGAGGTCGTGAGGAGGACGCGGCACAGCGTGGATCCTCCTGCGGTCTCCCTCATGTTGCTCCACCGGCTGGCCTGGGCTCTGCCTGCCGCTGCGGTCTGCATCCTGCTGCTCCACGGCCTCCTGCTGAATCAACGTAAGCTTTGTTTCTTTTTTTCCACCTGTTTCGGTGCTCTGGGACCCGCTGACCTTCTGTCCACTCACTGAACTGCAGATAAAAGCGACCTGGTGTTCCAACATAACCTGTGACCCGTCATATGTATGTATTTCTCAATAAACGTCATTAAGAGTAGGTATTCATTTAGTGACTTTAGGTTTATGTATGAATCCTGTAAAGTTAGGGTTAGTAGACAGCCTGCGCTTGAGTCACATAAAAAACGGGTCACAGATTTTGTTGTAACACCTCCATTAAAAGAGAACATCCAGAGATACAGTTTGGATCAGAGGGAGAGGTGAAGCACATGAAAGCTGAGTGGAAAAGTGAGGAAAGAAAAAAAAACAACAGAAATAAGTATTTATACAAGTATAATATTGGCTTAAACACCGCATGTTGTTCTAAATAGCCCCAGATCTTAAGACTCATATGTCTGTTTAAAAAGACACATTAAACCCATAAATGACACAAAATTTGAATATTTTGATATTAAAAAAATAATCAAAATTGTTAATTGTCTCTCATATAATTGCTACCCGGTCCACCATAACCAGACAATGAAGGACAATGTGGGACTCATTTTCAACTCTGGAATTTCATGCCTCAGACAGGCCAACTTAATTAGTGACCTATTATTAAAAAAACATGTGATTGTAAACTTACAGGTTAAGTCCATTACATCACATTGATCTGTAAATGCTTTCATTCAGTGTATTTTTCTCATATACTTCTAATACAAAACAGTACTAACAAGGGTTCACTGACAATGTAGATTTTTTTAAAAACATTAGTGCCAATTCCCAACATTATTCTGTAAAACATAATGTTTCCTTTTCAACAATATCAGAATCAACATTCTGTGCATCATTCTTTACTTAAACACCCGTTTATGCGGGTAAAAAAGGAAATACCTCAGGATTAGGATTCCTTGGGTGATAACCTACTGAGTCTACTGGTGGGTAGAAGGGACAATCTAATGGCATTCTATGGGACTGATAACCACTAATAATTGATTTAATGGGATGATACCCTTTGAAGTGGCTGGTTTTGATCAAGTTTTATGAGCTTGAAAATTTTATCTATTATCTAACTAAGTTCGAGCACATTTCTTATAAATCCTGACGAAACATTTCCATTTCATAGACTACATGCATGTCTTAAAGATGTAAAATCCCAGACGACGCTAAACTTTTTGCTTCTGAATGCAGACAAAACAGAACTTATTATTTTTAGACAAAAAAAAAAAAATAGTCAGCCACTTCATCTGGGCAGCAATAAATTGCTGTAATGTAAAAAACATTTGTGTTATTTTTCTTCATGACTTTTCTCACATCAATCAGATTTCTAGAATGTCCTTATTTTATCTGAGGGATATGGTAAAAAAATCTAAATATCTTCTCAAGGGGTAATGCTAAGAAAATAGTTCCTGCCTTTATCACTTCAAGGTTTGACTATTGCTTTTTTTAATATCATGAAGTCATTTTAACCTTCAAGAAGTCATTAAGTCCATAAACCAACAGCCAATCCAAAATGCTACAGCAAGAGTTATGCAGATAAATATAAAGAGAGATCACACTTCTCCTTATTTAAGCTTCCCTTTATTGTCTTCTTGTAAAATATAGCATAGCATGTAAAAGCCTTTTCATTTATAACAACCTAAATAACCAAACTCCATCTTATTTCAGAGATCTTGTTGTTAATTACATTCCTAACAGAGCACTTCACCCTCAATCAGCAGGTTAACTTGTGTTTCCTAGAATTTCCAAAAGTGGAATTGGAGGATGAACTTTTAGTTATCAAGCTCCTCTTCAATGGAACTGATTGCCAGTTTTACACCCTGGACAAAAGGGTTGGTATCCTGGAAAATATAATAAGATCACAGTATATGGATCTGTCAAATATCCAGAAAATATCCAGACAAATGTGGTCAGATCTGATCTGTCAAAAATCCTTTCATATACACATACATCATGGCTATGGATCTGAGTGTTGTGAAATTTTGTCATTTTTTAGTCTTTATAAAAGCCTGAAAACGTTTTCAATGAACATAAATTCAGTGATCAGAATTAATAAGCATGTTAATTTATCTGAACAACATATCTGGAACGGATTCAGAAGAGTAGAATCCTTGAAATATACTGAAAGATAGGGGTTTATGGATGTGTCAGATATACAGGTAAGATCCTGACAAATCCATAAAATTTTATCTGCCAAACATCCAAGCATATATATTGGAGTGTTCCAAATTGTTCCTTTTTTATGTCAGATTTTTTTTTTGTTATACAAAACATTTAATAATGCACAGGTATTTTCCAGCAAAATGTTAGTGTGGCTTTTCCACAGTTAAAATGACAAAAAAAGAAGGTAATTAACACTCATTAGCATGACTTTGATGTCATTACTACAAAACCGTACACATCTATGACATACATGGAAATTAAAAATATAATTGTGACTGTATTAACTTTTTTTTAAATTTATATTGATATTGTAGCCTCAACATTCTAACCTATAAAGTCTTTAAATTTTTTTGTTTAGCATGTAACAAGGCTACATGATATTCACTCAAATGATTTAGATTTTCTCTCATACTTCTGTTTAAATTTCACCAGTTGGAAAAATAAAGTGGTGCTACTGGAAAAAAAATCAACACCAATCATTTTCATTTTTCCTCAATGTTTCTAATGACCAATGACATTTAAGTTTGAAGCTGTTGGTACAGCCAGTGTAAAAAAGTGCAGACAAAGAGGAGTAAGTTGTTTACAGCTACAGCAGCAAGGGAAGGCGCAATTGCTATCAACATCTCGTTTGTTGGCGTATGGAGGTAAGCATGGTTTGATTGCTTGTGGATGAAATCACAAGCTTATTGACTAATCTGCCTGTCTCTGTCCTTACTGTTCAGACTGTGTTTCTGCCTTTCAAGCTCTGAGATCAGCCTAGACCTTGTAAGTCTGTGAAAGCTCAAAGTCCTCCTCCCTTCTATCACATTCTTACAGGATTCCTGACTGATCATTGGGTTTATCTGTCAAATGTTTACAGTCTCTCCTGTGATGTCCCCTTGCCACATACACAATAAATATTTATTTTTCTAGATCTCTGTCTAAATTGCACCAGGCTGTATCCAACCTAGGTGGCAAATTGCACCACCTCTCAGGAGAGCAGAAGAAATGAATCAGAAAATGGACTGCAGAAGACCCATTACTTCCAGAAGGAGCTCAAGATCATCACCTAAAAGTAAAAATTTAAACAAAATTATCAGTAAGTCTAATGTTTACACATTTTAATTGGCCGTTTTAACATTTATCAGCTTGACTGAATATGTATTTTTGATATCTGAAATATATTTCTGTCTGATCAAAATAATATAAAAATATAACCAGTAACAATAGGAATATGGAGATCTGAAATGTATTTCTAGACATCCAGAATGCTTATTTTTGTGACGAAGAATGTCTCCTGATTTAAAAAGGTCATTTTGACAAGGAAAAAATGTTTCTTTCAGATATCAGAAATACACATTCAGTGAAATTAATACACAGTTTAGGGTCTGTCCCACAATGAAAAGCTCTGCAAGCGCCAGAGCAGGAACCTTCAGGTACCCATATAAGAGCCTGAAACATGCCTACAGGTTGGTTGTGCTGGGCTGGCATGGCAGAGATGGTGTGGAACTCTCAGGTAGTTAATCTACATAAAAATCATCGTAGGAGGATGATATTTTGCTGTGTGCTATCGAACGCTGACCCTGTCAGGGCTTTTGTTACGTTTGCATATAGTGTTGTAAATTGTAACACTATACACTCAAAAAGAGAACCATGACAGTTGTCCAATCTTATAAAACAAAATATTTGTTTTTAGCTGATGCATAAAAAGTGTTTTAAAACCAAACACTTTATTTTCCCAGAAAGTACTGTTTAAACCAACAAACAATAAAGTGGACAACTGCTCTAGTTCATTTATTTGAGTGTGCAATACTGCATTTTTTTCTGTTGTCCCTTCCCTTTATTTACAGGGTATATTTATTTAACTCTTGTAAAATAAATAAAGTCTACAAATAACCAGGGTGACATCAGTATGCCTCTCTGGCTTCCTTTTTCTTTCCCAAGAAGCTGAGGATGGCCTGGCCTTAATTTTGTGCTTTATCACCTACACCTAACCTCAGAAAAGTTGGACAACTGAGTCATATTTGAATTACTTCATACCAAAGATTTTAGCTTTAGAACGGAGGATGGCAATACCATTGACATTTTTATATTGGAAAAGATCAGATCTCATAGGGGAGTTGAGGGTGTGATTGTCTGCGGGGAAACAAATTAGTCTGTTTTAAATATTAATTCTCACTTTGTTGTCAATGGATATAGTGATGATTTCATTTACTTTATAGTAGGGCTACTATCATTGCACAATAATGATCCTCCTCGAGAAAAGGTTCAATTTATGCATTATTTATGTACTAAGTTAAGAGAAGCGGTGTGCATAATCTTTCTCAACCAGCTCTGCACCTGCAGTTGCAATAATCCTGCTTCTCAGCAGGCTCTGACCAACCAGCACTTTTTCAACCCTAAGCAGGGGTTATCCATTGTTGTTTCCCAGGCTTTAGTTTTATAAAGCAAGATAAAAGCAAATTCTAATTTACAGCTGCTTAATTCACACAAGGAGATGGCCAGAAAGTCGCTCAATGGCGATCTGATGAAGATCTGAAATACATGGAAGGGGTGGTGACGGCCCTCAGAGTGACATGGAGACTGTCGAGAAGGACACCACAGTGTGGAAATTCAGCCACACTGTGGAGGGCTGACAAAGTCACAGAGATGATCAAAAAAATGCCGGGGAGCACTCGACAGCAGGTTGATGCGCAACCCGATGCTGGCTCACCATATACTGACCAGTGGTGTGAACAGCCTGAAGATTAACTCCATCTATTTGAAATGACTGCAGTGCAATAAACACATTTCCAAAAATGTCTATCTTTGTTTTATTTTTGTTCAAAGTATTCTGCTATTGGTCATGGATTACTTCATGATATTAGAATTAGTGTTGCACCGGTACCCATACCAGTATCGGGGAGTACCAACAAATAGGGCACCGATACCATTTTGCGAGGCAAAAGTTTGTTAAACTATTGTCACCCTTTCCGGGTAGGCAATAAAAAGTTTTACTGGATTCACTTTTTATTAGTCTTTTTCCTGCTTAACAAAGGCAGGCAGCAGCTTGACAAAGCCATGATGACAATTATTTTACATCCAAGTAGTATGCAATTCTTCATATGTACACACACACATCAATTTCAAACAGATGGTATGGGTATCGGCCAATACTACACAGCTGGATATCGGTATCAGGGCCAAAAATGACATCAGCGCAACACTAATAAGAATATAGATTCAGTCTTTACCACATAAAATTTTTTTTTCAGTTGGTCGATTCTGTGGGGCCAATATTCAAAATTGTAAAGAAGTGTATAGCAATCTGTTTTAACTATGTATTTTCTACCCTGCAATTGTTGTTTAACTTAAAACATATTATAGAATGCTTTTTTTGATTTAAAAAATAAAGTAGAAATATCAAATTGGATTATGTGCTGCAGGAATAAATGTAATCTTACAAATGTCACAAGATCTGAGATGGGACAGTTTAACGGTTTGTCTTCATTGCGCAACAGAAATGGAAAAAAGCAAGAAAAATCCAATTTAGGATGTTATATGAAAAAGTTCAGCATATATATATATATATTTTTTATATATGAATGCTTGTGGTCCTTATGATTTTTTTATTTAATTGGAGACATTTTAATTAGATTATAGAGGTGAAATTACTCATATTTTGATACACCGACTTTAATCAGAGATGTTTTAAATAAAATATAATTCTAAATAAGACTTTTGTATTAACATTAAATCATGTAGAAAATAAATATGCATCTAGCTTTAAATTTGAATCAAGACTGTAACTTAGTGAATGTATTAAATCAAACCGAAGGAAAAGTCTTGTATGTAGATTATAAATTTTTCTTCTTTAAATGCTTGCTCTCAGGTCAGCTGGTGGCAGGAAGCTGTGAGATTGTGACTCTGGATCGAGACAGCAGCCAGCCCAGGATGACTGTTGCCCATCAGACAGCCCGTTGTGCTTGCCATAAAGGACAGATCGCTGGGATGACACGAACCAAACCTGCCTGTGTTGATGGTATGCTTGTTTTTTTCCTAAAGAATGCTCTGATTGAGGACACAACTCAAGATGATGAGGATATGATGAACCATCAACTCTTGTCTGATTACTTCAGAACTGCAGGCTTTCAAGATCTATCCAGCAGTCTTTGTCAATTCTGTTGGCTCACACTTTTGCCAACAGATCATCTAAAAGAAATTATTAACAGTCGTTGTTTACACAAACATGTGTCTGATGCATTTTGAAGGGGGCCAAGTGAATCCAGACAGTCAGTCCTATGGAGGGATTCATCGTGAAACTGTGGGGTTATTGGGTGAAGTCCCTAGTGCATCTGTCTCAGTTGTCGCGTGCTTTTACAAGACACCTCTCCTGCCTTGCCTGCTCTTGGTGCTCAGAGAGCCTAGTAGTGCAATTGATACAGGCATGTCTGTTGGGTTAATGAAATAAGCCAAAATCACGGAATTATATCATGGAATGTATATTTAGCTACTCAATTATATATTTGTGTAATGGCTACCCAACTATACATTTTTCTATTTGTGATGAAGGCTTATCTCCTAAAATACATGAATTATTCTGACCTACATTATGTATGTAATTTATTTTTGTGCAAAAAGGACCCAAGACAGCAGCAACGTGATGACATTGGTCAATGAGCATAACTGGTCAAACTGTTTGCACCTCAGAGGGAAAAAAATATTTTGCACCTCAGTCAGGCTATGCTCTCACCATAGACTTTAGGTGCTCATACTGAACAGCTTTCTGGCAGGATTGTGTCAGAAATGTCTTTGGAATCGGTGCATTTTTACATACATGGTTAGAGACAGGTGAAATAGACTAGTGTATGAAACTCACTGTTCCACCGCTGTGAAGCCTGGAGGTGCTCAAAGAAATAGGGGCAGGCTAGCCATTGTAGCAGTGGGACAATGGCTCTGTTCAGGTCCTGCCTGAGCTGTACTGCCTTAGCAATCAATACCATGCATTAGCCTCACACCCTCAGAGTCACAGGGAAAAGCAGCCATGTCCCCCTTGACATGTTGAGTTCTCGTTTAAGGAAGTTTTACACTGTCACCTCTGGGTGTTCTTCTGTGGACTTAGGAACGGCACAAAAAACAAGATTATCTTCACCGCATTCATGTTTTCCCCTAAGAACTGCATCAACCATGAATCTTTTTTTTAAGCATGTTGTTCTCAGTTCCTACCATAGCTGCTCCTGGCTATATTAAAGAGATTCCTTCAGGTTCCAAAATTCCTTTTACATAAATTCTACCAGGATCTGTCTGGCATTCAGCTTGGTAAGCTTTTGGTTGATAGGTTCTAAATGTATTGGTGAAGGTCTTATCCTGTGAAGGGCTGATACTGATAGAGCATTCAGAGCGTGTTGGCTTTGATGTTCTCTGAGGTTTCCCCAGTAGGCTACTACTCAGTTTTGCTCTGCAGGCTGTCAGGTTTCCTCACCCAGGCTAAGGAACATAATGGTTAACAATTTAAATAATATTTTATATTTGGCAGGATTTATGTACTCTTTTGTTTTTGTTTTTTTATTTTTTATTTTGGAATGTCCTATACATGCTATGCTGTGAGGGGGAATAAGGACTCCTATTCATTACTATACCCTTAAGAAGAATCACATAAGGTTAAAAATCAGTTAGCTATATGGTTAATGGTTTCAGATTAGGCAAATAATTTAATAAAATTTATTTGAGCAAAGGATTTTTTATTTACCGCATGGATTTGCATTGTGAATTGGTCTAAACACATTCCAATAGCTCTAAATTGGTCCCTACTGACACGATGGGGCCAAATGGGGCACAGTAGCCTTAATATTTTTGGCCCATGTGGAAAACCAACTAGTACCCAGCTTATTTTTTCCTCAGTTTCTATGGTGGTCCCCAGTCTATTTACCTAAAATTGTTTATGGTGTGACTTATAGTAGGCGCAACCAACCATTATGTTGGGCCCAAATGGGTTTTGCAATAGAATTTGGCATCCACTTGGGTTACACACCTGGGGCCCAGCTATATTCATCCTGAGTTTCCTCCAAGTGTGTTTGCCAGATGGGTTTATAATGGGCCTTGGATGGGCCACAACTCAGACCCAGCCAGCAAACGTATAGGTTCCAGGTGGAACTATACCGTATATAATACCGTGATGAAAGATGTCTTTTCATGCAGACAGGGTGCCTCCGGGGAGCAGCTTTAACCAATGCTTATACATGACACTGCCGTGCATTCAAAATCAGAATCAGACATACTTTAATAATCGCAGTAAGTTAGGCTGTCGCTGGACATAAGTTCTGGACTCATTATGAATACGCTATGTATATTCCCCAAATTAAAAAAATACATGCATGTTCAGCATAGGTCAGCATTTTAGAAGATTCTAGGACATTAGGCACATGCTTTATAAATAGGCAAGTTGTGACATGGCCGTTAGGCAGTGATAAACAATTTCATCCACATCCCTTCATTGCATGTCATAGGGCTATGCTAAAGACACGTGGATAATCACCAATTAGAAAAAAGCATGCTGTGCAGCAGTCAGAGAAACAGAAAACGCTGCATTATATTTATTCCAAAAACAATTTTGTAGAACTCAATTGGTCTGAAAATGTATTGTACCAGGAGCTCTAAAAAGGTGATATTTCATAAGTACACATATTGAATCTCTTCCTAATAAACTGATAGTGATAGTGATAAACTGATAGCGATGTTTAGACATTCAAAAGAATGTTTTAACTCAATCCCAGAGTCTGTCTCACAGTAAAGTGGCACGGAAGGTTTTTTCTTTAACAGTAGTACCCCTCAAACAAATAGAAAACACATGATGGCCACTAAGCTTAGGCATTGGTGGCAAATGCAAGCTATTTCTGTGTCCCCCTCCCTCTGCCCTGCTTTAGGCCATTCAGATCATTTAATTTCCTTATTGTGACAGAGCTGTGACAGAGCTCTGTCACAGCTGATTAAAAAGAGTGAATAGCTAAGAGTCTGACTTCAGCTGCAGCTAAGTTAGAGAAGAGGTTTTTTTTTCACAAAATCAACTTCCTTGCCCAGGATTCAAAGACATTCATGAAACATTTATCTGATCTGTTTTACAGGCCTATCTGCTTCCCAAAATATTTTAAAGGCTCTCCCTAGGTACACAGCTTAGTTATAGTTAAGTTGGTTAATTGAAACCTGGTTGTTTAAGAGCTGTAGCCCCTTAGAGAAGTTGAGGAGAGGGAGGGATTAGGCTTAGTTTTGACCATGCCTATTTATAGGGGGGACATACTGGTCAGGCCTAGGTTAGAGGCGGGTCATGAACCAGCCCCCTGCATGTATGGCAAGAACATTTTGTATATTTTTCAATTTGCAATGACATAATGGTCGATCACATTAAATCTTTCCCTTAATTACTTTATTCTGACTATCCACTTCCTTCTAAATGTTTATACCCATGCTGCAGCATCTTCAAAGTTAACAAAGCTAAGGTATAAGGCCAGCTGAACTACAGGTAGAGACAGGAAAATACAGAAATAACATTCCCCCCCTCTGTCCTGGGTCAGGCAGTAGCGCCCCTTTAACATAGAAACAGCATGGTGGCACTCACCTGAGAAACGCACCTCAAACCACAGGCACAGCTGAACTTTGAATCGCTCTCACCTCCAGAAAGTCCATTTGTAGGGGGTCACGACTTGTAAGCACACTGATGGCACAGTACACTCAGCATGTTTTGTCAAGGATTTGATGTCTCTCTTTGCATGTATAAAATTTGACTGACAAGACTACAAGGTACATCAACGGGCCGGATACCAGGTAAAGCAAAGAGGGTGTTGTTTGGATCAACACTTACAGTACAGAGATAGTTTTAACCATAGCTCCCAGCCTACCACCGAACGGAATATGGATATCTGGTCCTCTGACAAGCTAGAAACCTGTGGCAAGTGACCGGAAACCCTGTGGGCAAACACAAAACTGCACAGCAACACTAATTAGTCATAGATAAAGCCGATTGACAAGACTCTTGTATCGGGAGAACTAAATACAGTCTGGTCAAAGATCAAACCCTCACAGCAGTGTGAGCTTACAAGAAGTGGGTGAATTCTCCATCAGGATATCTTAAAGAATGAAGAGAGGTCACACTAAACAGGACAGGCCACATCAACTTCAGAAAGCTGCCAGTAAGAGAAACCCCAAAGATGAAATTTGAGTGTGAAGTAAGATGTTACAACAACGACAAAGCTATGATAATGGGAAAAAAGGAAACCAAGCAGGGGTGCAGAACAGCAAGCAGATATAACTAGCCAGTGCCGACCGGCCCAAAAAAGCCAATCCACACTGCAGACATCTCAGAACTCTTACAATAAATCCAAATGCCAGCCATCTTTCATGATTCCTGGTACTAGTGCTAGTCTGATTTAATATTCAACAAACTTGTCAGCTCCACCCCATTTCCAATCAGCCTTTACAGACTCATCGCTTCCCTGACTATATAACCAGTTCTCAGACCAGTTATTAGAACCAGATTACTACAAGCCATCTGTCAATTTTATCCAGTATTCCTTTAAACTTGTCTGCCTGATTAAGACCCAATTCTGCCTCCTGATTCTATGAGCCTGACTGAATCCTATTGGACCTGCCATTGTCTGTTTGTGGATCTCTGACCTGCGTTCTGTGCCTTGACCTCGCTCTCAGGTTCTCCTCTGGATTGTCTCTGGATTTCTGATCATCTAGCTTTGACTCTGGACCTGCTCTCAGACCTGCATTGTCCCCTTAATCATTCTGCCTGTCTCTGCTCTCACAGATCTGGGCCAACAATTAATAGTCAAATAAGGATTCCTGTGGGGTTCAGCAGTGACATCAAATGCCAACTGGTGGTGGTGGGGTGACGGGACGAGGTCTAAACAGAAGTGAAAAGAGAAGCCTACTGGGTGGATATCAGTGTAGAGATGTTGATGACCCCCAGGGACCTAGAGACAACAAGTCCATGTAAAGTCAGAACCATGGAGGATAGGAAACACAGAACTTGGAAAGGAATTGTATGGTGCTATTGAAAGCTCTGTGTTTACACCTTGAAGCTTTCTCTCCAGGTATTTTACTGAAAAGAGATCACTTGGGACAAACTCTTTAAATAACACCTCATAATGTATATGTATCAAATAACCATGAGATATGACGACAGATTTTGAATGAAATTGTAATCTTACTCAGATCAGAGAAGTTGCTTTGAATTACAGAAGGTAGTGCTTACCTACTTGGCACACATCTCATGAAGTGGCCACAACTCACAGTTAGAGAAGCATTTTAAAACTCCAGTATGCCACATCATCACATCATTATATCATACAAGTTTGCAGATGAGGAGACAGTCATGGCTCCAGCCTTACCAAAATATTACAATTTGTTTTTAGATCAGGACGCTGCTCTTATTCCATTCCCAAATCTTTGCCACTTGCATAATGATGATGACTTTTGTCCTGACCGAGTAGCCGTCCTAATTAATTAGATAAACTATTTAGTAAAACATTTCTGACATGCAACATGCAGGTAATATTATGGTTTAACAAACTCAGGCAATATCAATAAGGATAACCCTAATAATGGTTGAAAGGCCACTACAATGTACTGACAGTGAAAGACCTCTAGATTTCTTTTTGTTTACACTTCTGTATACAAAATGACAAAATAAATCTATCTAATTCTAAGTCTCTAACAATGACATAAAGAAATAAATATACCAGAAGCTCTACAGCCACCAGCTCGACAGTTACCTCTTCTCTCCTTACTAAACCTCAAGTTACATTGCAAATGGGCTCAAAAGTATAAGCAATGTGATTTACATGCCTGAATGTCCTATCAGCTTCGTCTTCCATCATACCAAATTGTTATCCACTCCTAACAAAGAGTTGTTCAAGGGAGAAAAGCCTCATCTTTTTTACACAGAGGATCATGGGGGAAAAACTCATTTTCACCTCACTTAGGGTTATTAATGTTCCAAGAACCTGACCTACCTAAGAACAGAGCAAAATAATGTTTTGCAAGCAGAGACATCCTCCCTTCTCAACAAGCATTCCTAAACACAGCATATGAGTTCAGTCACTAAGGTTACATAGTTCACATAAGTTAAAATCACATTGTATTAAATGAGTAAATATAGTTAAATGAAATATTGTGTTACCTCTGATTAACAAATAAAATTTCACAGAATTATGTTCGATCCTTTATTCTTACCATAATTTTAAATTGACCTTTGTCATTTAGTATAGAGACTGGGTAAAAATTTTGTCTAAAGTAGAACCTCAAAAACAAGGAATAACTGACCTCATTTGTTTGTTCATTTCTCCTTAGTTCAAATCATCAGGAATCACCAATGGTGTGAGATGGCTCCATGTTTGGATGATGAGGCTTGTAACCTTCTGGACAATCAGTCCGGCTGGACCTGTACACAACCAGGAGGCCGGATTAAGACCACCATGGTGAGAACAAACTCTTAGCTAAGAACATGATTCACATGTGTATGTTTCCCTCTAATAATAATGCTTAGAATCACACAAACCAAGATAAACCCAGTTGAGCAATTGGAATGTTTTCAAACCAATTCACAATGCAAATCCATGACACAAATAAAAGATTTATTTGGCCAAATAATGTTTTATTAAATGATTAGATTGGAAATCAATCATCATTAGTTAAATGATTCTTAGTCTTCTTTGAGTAAGGTAGCAGTTAGCAAAAATGAGGATTCCATTAGATTACTTTTTTTGTCATAATTTGGTAATCAAAAGGTATGAACTTTAATGTTTTATTAGTGTTTTAATCCCTTAGTGAAATAAAGCTTGCTCTAACTTTATAACAACAGCTAAAAATATATTACTCTGGCATAGTGTACCATGCAATCTATCATGTTAGCTTTGTCTTTACTCATCAATAAACATATGAAATTATGAAAATTATTAAAATAAATATTGTTTAACTAGAAACTCTCCCCAAAATTTTGAGTTTCCTCCAGGTGTTAGCAGCTTAATATGAACAAAAGAGGACATGAAGATTCTTCATCAGGCTATCTCTTAGCTTCAGTCTCCACACACAGAAGGCATTTTCAATATGCTGGGGATTTTAACTGGGCTAACTTAAAGACTGTGCTCCCTAATTTCTACAAAGATCTGTACTTTGCAATTCAGGGGTGAAAACAATATAGATCTGGTTTACTGTAACATCACAGATGCATTTAGAGCAGCACCCCACCTCCAACTCAGGTCATCAGATCACCTTTCTGTCATGCTAATTCCTGCATACAGGCCCCAGCTAATCAGGGCCAAACTTGCAGACAAAGAAATCAGAGTTAGGTGCGAGGGGGCCATGCAGAAGCTCCAATACTGTTTTGGATGCTCTGACTGTTAAAAAAGATAAAAGCT